AATTGGTTTGACATTCATGTGTGCATTTGGGGATTTGTCTGCTCATAGCATAAGTAGGAAAATGGGCTGTATAATCTATTTCCAGCAAATGTCTTTTTAGAGACTCTTTGTGGGAAACCCTTTTAATGGATCTGACAGCTCCTGTTTCACCAGCCACTGTGATATATTTTTGCTGTCTTACTACACAGTGTAAAGCCAGATACATTCCCAAGTCAACCAGGGTCTGTTAAGAATCCTGAGGGGATCTATTATTTGCTGATATATTTTATTGTTACAGAATAAAAAATGAGTCATTTTACCCAGATAAATCCTTAGTTCTTTATGATTAATTACATTAAAATATATTCTTGCTATTATCAGGCAAACTGTTGTACACTTTTCTTTCTGATGACTATTTGGTGTGTTCATTTTTATTTGGGAGCACTGGGATGGCTTTTTGGATTAAATGTGTGCTTCCTGAAAAAGAAAGACACTAAACACTGGAAATTTTGTGTTTAGTCTTGCAAGCTGAAAACAGCTTGCACTTCTGCTCTGCCCTGTACTGGTCCCTTGTGAGCTCTAAGTTTTATGGGATTTTTTTTGGTGAGTTTTCTGGGTAATTCTTTAATGTAAATAACACTACTTTACAAAGGGCCAGGTGGCTCTATGGAGCCATTTAGAAAATGGATGCAAAGCATGCTTTATTCCTGTATTTTTCAAGTAAGTAACAATCATGAGCTCATGGCAGCCAGTCCACGTGGATTTAATCCCAAATCCATGGGCTGTTTTATATGCCAGGTGGTAAGACCCTAAATCAGCTGTTTTGGTAGAAAAGCCTGCTGGAAGATGAGTGGATTGAGCTGATTTGGGGAGACTTCTTCCACGGGCTTTTTCCCCCTTACTTTGTTTGTAAACCTCCTTGAAATGAGGTGCCTTTTCTTTGTATTTATTCAGCACCTTGTCATGCAAACATTAAAGAAAGCCTTCCATAAGTGCTGATTATTGCTGGTGCTGGCCTGGCATCAGCCCACAAAGTGAGACAGAAACCAACAGACAGAGATGGAAGTGTAAACTAAACCCTTTCTTTGTTTCTGATGCTTGTGACAAACCCTCAGCAGGTAGTGCAATCTTTCATACCAGCCATAAGGTGCTGAAAACCCATTTCACAAATTTCTTGGCTATGTGTCACATATTTCTGCAGTTACTCTGGGGCAAAAAGAAGAGCTATGGATTCTAATTTAAAGTATATGAATAGTCACAGCGAATTAATGAGTCCAAATCCACTTTGTGCTTAAGTAACATATAGTTTCTATTTCAGTAAGCCTTGCTGGACAAGGACCTGTATCCTCACAGAAATAAACAAGTGAATCCAAGGAGATGTTACCATTCACACCATGCTTTGCTCTGTAGTGACAAAGCACAGAAATTGCCTCTTCCATTTTGTTTATGTACCTTGTTGGAACCATAATTTCCCTGTTCCTTTGGAATTTGGTGGCACGGGAGGGGCACATGCCCTTCTCTGCTGCTCCATGTGCTGCAGTGTTTCCATTTCTGCTGTCATCTGACCAGGTCCAGGTTTCTTCTGTTGGTTGCATAAAACAAGGTCAGTGGCTTCACAACAAAGTGTTGTCACATATAATTAGCCCTGCATTCTTCTGAATTTTTGAGAGATAATTGCCTTGCCATGACTTCAGTGGAACAGATAGATGTGTCTCTCAGTCCTTTTATAATTTCAGTGTAAACATGCACGTGTTGCACGGCACAATTTAGATTGAAAGTAAACAAGATCTGTGCTGTGACCTGGGATGAGAAGCCCAGTGGGAGAGTGTTTCTGGCCCAATGGTTTTGTCATAATGACTTTTACAGCACTTGCTGGTGACAGCTGGCATGGGAGCTTCTGTGACCTGGTTGTGGTGATACCCAGAGCCCTTCAGAGCACTCTCAAACCTGTTCTCACTCATGATGGCTTGACACACAGAATCTACAGAGCAGAGAAACCTCTGCTGCCCCCAAATATGCCTCTCTGCAGAGAGGAGCTGTAATGCCTCTGGAATCCAGCTAAAAATCAGGCTGAGAGCATCAAATCTGTCAATGGCTTTTACCACACTCTTTGACAGAACAGGGGAACAGAGAGTTTATACAGCTGTTTTTGTTGGCCAAGCCTCAGAAACAGACAGGTTTAATGAAGTGAATACTAACTTTTAAAGACGCTCCATGCTCTGAGGCTCAGTTTGGATTTTGGAAGAATGCTCATCTCTTCCCTGCACTTTTCCCTGCTGTGGGGTTCTCCTACTGCTAAGTGAATAACTAAATTCATCTTGACCCCAGCAGAAATTTAGTAGAGATATTAAGCAAACACAGTCATCCTCTCAGAAAGTTCAGTTAACTTCATTTGGTTTGCATATCTAAAAGGAAAGCAGCCATTTAATTTCTCAGAAAGACATAAAGTGATTTTTCTCTTGGATTCTGTCTGATTAGTACCATTGCTGGCAGAGTATTTTCCAAGTAGGTTTGAAATAGTTGGGCTGAGAGGGATTTTTGAGCTGGATGTGCTTGTGCCCTTAACAACTGTAATATTAATAATAAATGTCTGATCCTGAAATCTTTGCTCATACAAGTAATTATTTTTTTAACGTAAGCAAACCTACATATTGTAAGGATTTTTCTGAGAAAATTTTGCTCCTGTGGGTGAACTTTGTCAGCTGCAAGCCTCTGAAGACTGTGCTGATGTGAGATATTTTAGAGTCTGGCCAAAGACCCAAGATGATGACAAATGACATTCAGAAAATAAAATAGGACTTTGAATGTCCTGCAACTTTTGTTTTCCTCAGTCCTAAGCTCTCTCAGCAAAGAGAATGTTTTGCCTCAGTCTCCATTAATGCCTCTAAGACAGCTCTGAACTCTCCAACAGGGCTGTAGCACCCTGTGCCACGAGCAAGGACATCAGCATGTGTCCTGTTCAAAACTTCCCTGGCTGTTTCTTTTCCCTCTGCCACATTTTTTGATTTTCCCCTGAAGGCATCTGTTCATACTCATTTTGGGGGGCTCGTGTCTCTGTTGTCTGACAACACAACATGGCTTATTACCTTGAACAACCCTCTGAGCCTCAGATCAGAATTTATAAACCTACATCATTTTCTCCAACCTACTGCCAGGATATTGGAAGACAAAAGTGTCTCAGTATTTAATGACAATGTATTACCCAGTCTTTCAGATTTGTAGGCAGATTCAGTCTTCCAGTGCTTTTCATTTAAGGAATTGTAATCAGTTTTAGGACTTCATCAAAGCTGGAATAAACTCTAAGGCTGTATGCATCAGCCAGGTCTCAGGTATTGACATCAGAAGATTCAAGAGCTCTTTGATATGATTGGGTGAGGATGAGAAAATGGTAATTTATTTGACATCATCTGACACAGGTGGATCTAAAAAGGACACTTGTACTAAAATAAATTCTGGATTGTGGTGAATTCACTTGTATTACAAGACCTTCCCTGGTACCAACACACCAGAGATTCACCTTGCGTGAAGAGTCCTTATGGATCTGAGTGCCTGAAGGAGACAGGAATTGGGGATGTGACCTCATGATGTCCTTTTAATGGAGGGACTGAATTGCACAGGGAAGAAGGAAATCACATCAATCCAGCATCAGTGTCTGCATGTCATAGGTAGAAATCCAGTGCTTTCACCTCTGTGCCTGTTTTTCAGGGAGCTCGTGCAGTAGTGTAAGGATTCAGTGTTTGGTTTCAATTTGTAGCAGAGAAGCTTGACTTGGTATTTGCAGGATGATGTGCCTTGTGTTTACTGATGTGCCTCGTGTTCATCTGCCTCCTCACTGAGAGCCCAGAAGCTGCAGGGCTGCTCTGGACACCACAGTGCAGGTTTGCCCTCCAGAGTGGCAGGCAGTGAGTCACACTTACCTGTGATACTAAAGATGTGCTTGGCATGGCCCCTGCTGGGGCTGGCAGCACCATCCAGCACTTCTCATGGTTTTTGGCATAAGCCTTAAAAAAAATACTTGTTCAAAAACAGAGTAGCCTAGGAAAAAAATAATTTTGATCAAACTTGCTTGGTGAAGCAAGTATTGAAGAAATTTCTCCGTTGTCCTCTGGGACAGGATGCTTTCTGAGAGCTTCTGGACAGTAAAAATGGTTTAATATTTAAGTAGAAGCCAAATGAAATGATTGCTAGGAGATTTATTTATTTAGTTGCATATAGCAACAGGACAGAATTTCAAAAAGTGACTCCCTGTATAAATTTGTATAAAATTATTCATATTCAGACCTTTCACACTGGTGCCCTGACTCCTGATCACTGTAAGGGACTGCTGTCACCAGTGGAAAATCACCACCTCTTAAATCACTGGCATTGACTCTGGTGTTATTATTTACTTTAGAAAATAAGTAATAAACTGGCCCTGTGAGATGAGCTGCTGTGCAAGCTGGCCAGCTCCTCCCCAAGGCCCACAGAGCACGGATGGATATGAAGATGCAACTTAGCAGGTCATAGAAATATGAGGTCAACTTCATGCCTTGACTCAATACAGTTTTATTTCCTGACTGACAGGGGCCTGACACCCCACTCTGATATCCCCCAGCACCGCTCCCTGCTTTATTTATGTGGAAATAAAGCAGAGAAAACAGGCGTTGTGTCTAGTTCCAGTGATGGAGAATGTCTCCAGCTGACCAAGGTGTCCTCATTAATGGCTGCTCTATATTTAGCCTTTGCAGAGCCCGTGTGCCCCCAGTTTAATCAAAGACCTGGTAGCCATGGCAACGACACCGAGCATCTGTGTGTGCATGATCTGCCAAACACTGTAATAAAGGGCAGGAAGAGAAACACACAACAGCTTTAAGTGGATTAATGCATTGTTCTTTTCTACTACGGATTCTGAAGTGTTTAGAAGAGCTTCTCAGCCACGAATGCTAGACTATTTTTGCAAAAAAAATGAGCCCTATTAACACAGGTGACAGTTACTAATCTCCTTTTTTTGTTGTTTTCTTTTTCTTAATTTTGTTTTGCAGGTGTATCAGCATTCATATACAGCATATTATGTCCTCAGCAAAATACCTCATGGGTAAGCAATTTTTCAATGTCTTCATTTAAAAACTCAGCCATTAAGAATCCTGCAAAACAATGTGTATTGTGACAAATGCTTTCCTGTGACAGCCCTTTGCAATGGCCTGGCTTTCAGCTGCAGCATCCACCGAGCTGTGTGCTGTGCAAAAGATGACGAAGTCTGGAAACAGAAGTACTCAGCTTCCCCAGAGAGTCAGACTACATGAATTTCATATTCCAGATTTCAGGGTTTTTGTCTAGAATATAGATGTGGTGGTGTCTGGCTGAGAGCCATGGTTGGCCACTCACCAGAGCACTGGAGAGGAGAAGGCTCTGGGGAGACCTCATTGCAGCCTCTCAGTGCCTGAAGGGGGCCTGAAGTGAGCTGGAGAGGGACTTTCTACAAGGGCATGGAGCATTAGGACAAGGCTTCAAACTGAAAAAAGGCAGGCTTAGACTGTATATTGGGGATAGTTTTTTCCTCTGAGTGTTATTCAGCCTGGCACAGCATGCCCAGAGGAGTCGTGGCTGCCCATCCCTGGGAGTGTTCAAAGGTTGGGTGGGACTTTGAGCAACCTGGTCTGGGAGAAGGTATCCCTACCCAGGGCAGGGGGGTTGGAACTGGATGATTTTAAGGTCCCTTAACAACCCAGGCCATTCAAACATTCTATGATTCTTTGATTCTTTAGCTTTGATTAGTTGCAGGTTTTTTTTAATCTCCCTTTTTACGCTTTGTCTTCGTGGTGCCTGTGGTTCCAACTCCATCACCCAACCACTCGTCACCTGCCTTGTTTCTTTAGGGTTTAGGATTAGGGTTTCTCTTAGTGTCTACCTTCTTTTCCTTTAAAAGATACATTCCTCTTCTATATGCAATCCAGGCAGTGTCCCAGCTGGTCAGGAATGGGATGCCACCATACCAGAGTCACATGTAGGCATATGCTGGAACAGAGCATTTCAGGGTGACATTTCCATAGCAGCAGTGGAAATGCATGACTTACACAGCAAAATCCCTCAAGTCGTTGTTGCTAAGTATGAAGCTAAAAGCCAGCAAGCTGCTGCCAGGTTGTGTGTTTTAAGTGTCTTAAAGGTGATAACTGTGCAGAAATGATAAAAAGGGACAATGTAGCTGTGCTCTGCCTTGTCTGTAGTGCACTGCACATGACTCATTTACATAATTGCTGAGATTAGTGGCCATTACTATACATTATGGCTAAACAGACAGTAGGTGTTTTGCATCTTTGAAATAGCTGTCAAAACATGAAACATTTAAAAAACTCCTTCTGGTTAGTATGCAGAGTGATTATAGGATCAACAGGTAACTCAGGCTGGAAACACTCTTTTGAGGTCACTCCTCCTCCTCAAACCAGGTTACTCAGAGGTTTATCCAGCTGGATTTTGAAATCCTGCTGGGATGGGGACTGCACAGCTTCACTGGGCAGCCTGTCACACTGCCTGACTGTCCTTAGGGGCAGAGTTTCTCCTTATATCCAGTGTGAACCTCCCCCTTCTGTTCCTACCTGCTTTCTCTCACCAATATCACTGCATTCAATGGGTTGGGACTCGGGAAAACACTGGAACATGTTCCAAAGACCTGTTGATTTCTGCCTCCAGGGGCTTGCCCTGGGAAAAGGCAGGGTCCTGGCCATGCCTGTGTGCTCAGGGTTTCCTTCTGCTTCCTGCAGGCTGCTCCCACTCTCTGAGCACCATGGATCATCAGCATTCCCACTGGGCAGTCCTCAGGGGAACTCACTTTTCAACATGGATATGTTGCCTTAGGGACAAAACGCCTAGAAATCAGACAGTGAAACATCCACATTTTTTAGTCCCCTGCCCTCTTTCCAATCTGTTTTTTTGGTACAGTAACCAGTGGGTTTAACAATGGAGAGGTACAGATATTTAGACATCTCTCAGCAATTTTTCTGCATAAAAATCCTAGCTACATTCAGGTGCTGCTCAAGGATTTGTCTCAGCATACTAATCCACACACATCCACACACAAACCAAAAAAATGAATAGGAGAAACTAAACAAACCAACCCACAAAAAACCTGCAACCCAACAAAACCCTCAGACAACAACAACAACAAACTTCTTTGTCTTCTACTTAGTGACAGACAATACTTTGTACAAAAACTAGAGACATACATGATTTAAAATCTTTGAGCCCTGGAGCTTGTGCAGCCTGCTTCCCTCCAGCTTGCATCTTGTGATCCACTCAGCACAAAAAGTCATGAGCTTGATGTTAAATCGTTTTTATGTATGGTTGGAACATGGAAATTAGATTTCTCACCATCAACCCTGCAGAAGCTGTAGTGTCCATGTGACACACTCCAGACTTCTTCAGTCTCCTCCCTTCCCTGCTGCAATCTGCTCTTTGTTTTTTGCTTTCCTTTTTTTTATTTTTTTGGGGGAGTATAGTTTGTGTGTGTGTGTGATTTGCTATTTGTTTGTTTGTTTGGGTTTTTGTTTGTCTCAGTCTGTTTGGTTTGGTTATGTTTTGTGTTGCTTGGTTGGCTGGGCTGGGTTTTTTCTGGGAATTTACTCAATATGCTTAGTTTTTGAAAACTCCATCTTCCTGGCAATGTATCTGAGTAGTAGCTTGTGGGCTGAAAGTGTTCAGCACCAGGATGAAGACACAGCATGAGCACATAAGCTTTGTGTCTGCAGCAAACCTGGCTAAGAGCAAAAAAAGCTTGACTGACAGCACAGTTCTCTTCCAGACAAAACAAAGGTGGAAAAAATAGAAGTATCATACATAAGATGTATTAGAAATGCTAAAAATTCACAATACAGTGGTCCAAGAAGTTTTCTACTAGTGCATGACCTTTCTTTGTCCCTGACAACCAGCTCCTTGTTCCTCCCAGCTATAACTCTATTGTGCAGCCAGCTGTGGCTGCCCTTGCTCTCTGTGTTTGGTTGGGCAGTGGTGCAGGGAACGGAAGGGTTGGATGTGTCAGGAGAGATCCATCTTGGATGTGGAGAAGTTTCCAGCATAAAGGGGAAATCTGGAAAGTGAGGGCACGCCAGAAGGCACGCAGAGGTGTCAGGCAGTGGTGTCCCCACAGCCTGATGTGGTGGTGGATCAGGAGACCACGAGCTGAAGAGGGGCTGGAAGGATCACTGAATCTCGTGTGGGTAAAAGGTGTGGTTTGCAGTTCAGGCTTTTGGATACATGCACAGGCATTGTAAACTATATCGTGGAAAGACAATTTCACTGACCTTCCAGATGATCATGGTGCATGTGAGTGGTGGAAAGGGCAGCACACTGCCATTTCCATGGGACATGGGCATTTATCCTCCTGTGGAGCTCTGTGAGTATTTAGGGTGGTGCATGAACAGAGAGGACAGGTCTAGGAGGTGAAGATTGAACGTGATGTAACGGTGGTGAAATGCATCAGCTGAAAGTAGAGCCTCTGTTGGATGAAGGGATAAAAACCTCTTTATGACCTATATAATATTTAACACAGGAATGTTGCTGTGGTGGATATCTGTGGATGAAGGTTGTGGAGGGCACACTGACAACACCAGGTTCAGTTCAGTCTGACATTCCAGGATCTTTGGCCGTGATTGAATTTGCCATCCACAAGCAGCCATCCTTGTCCTCCACCTGTCAGTAACAGCAGTGACAAAATTCTGCACTGAGCAACGACCCCTTTGCCTTTTTTACAAACTGTTTTCAGTTTTTCCTCTTCTACAGGCAGGCACAGCTTTACACCCTGCTGGTGTGTGCCTGTGGCATCTCTCCAGCCGCAGGCTGAGGCAGTGACTGCTGGGGAACAAACCCCCTCCCCTCCACAGTGTCCTCCTGCTCAGCAGACAGTCACTCCTGGATAACAGGTTGTGACAGTGTCCCTTTTCCTGTGCTCCCTCTCTGTCCCCTTCCCCATCCTCAGCTATGATCTGCCTCATCAGAAGGGCCAGGCAATTTAGGATTTGCACCCGCTCATGTCCTCGCTAGTCCCCTGCTGAGGCTAACTAATAAGGAAGCCAATTAACCTAATATCTGGCATCACGTTTAAATAACATGCTATTAATCTGCCAGCATAAATTGTTTTTTAAAGGGAATTTTCTAATTATTTTTGCCACGTCCTGCAGGCTCTCCAGGTCCAGGCTATGCCTGAAGTCAAAAGGAGCTCATACCAATGTTTTCCAGATTTCATTTTGAGCTCTCAATAAGTCTGACAAACCAATTTGTCCTCAGTAGGTATGTTCCCAAATGGGATTTTATATAGGACTGCTACATCTTTCCACAGGAGCTGTTGTCAAAGTAAACACTGGGTCTGTATAGGACAGCTAACAGATGCCACTGCCATAGACTCGAAGGATCCGATTTAAAAATTAACATTAGCCCGGGGTAGGTCACACAGATTTAGTACCTCCCTTCTGTTATTTCAGCTTTCTCACAGCCTCTTGGTATTCTCGGGGTCGAAAGCCCAGCTACTTTGACTCGTTTGCTCTCTGCTCTGGATGGCTGGAGGTTTGCACAGGGGGCTGAACCCCCCAGTTCCCATTTCCCTGGGCAGGGGTGTGCAGGGGGCTCTGCTCCCATTCTCCTCCCTCCTCGCATCCCCAAAACCGCGCTGCTGCCTCCGGCTGCCATCTGCTGGCACCAGCCCTGTCCCGTCTGCTCCCCTCTGAGCGCTGCTGCTTTTGGGCTCTGGCTGCTGAGAACTGCCTGCAGCTGTCTCCATCATAAACATTTCTGCAGGGCTCGTCTCATAACCCCCCCAGCTGCAGCACTGCAGGTGCCAGCTACTTGTAATTGATAGGTACCCAAATAGCATCTGCAGGTCCAGATGTGGAACAGGGAGCTCTCCTGCAAGCTGCTGGGGAAATCTGGAACTCCAGTACCATATACTGATGGTACTGATCTCCTAACACTATTATTAATTTTAACTATTTATTTATTATTTGTTTGTTTATTTTTATATTTATATTATATTATATTATATTATATTATATTATATTATATTATATTATATTATATTATATTATATTATATTATATTATATTATATTAT